CATTGATAACCCTTTCTCTTTTGATCCTCTTAGTGCTTTTCGTAAATGTGTCACATTTTTTGAATGTTTTCTTACTTTAACGTTCTTGCACTTGGCCCCCTGTCTGTTTTTTCCCTTTTTTATTTGAGATCTGAATCTTCTGTATATCACAAGGAACATACATATATATATATATTATTCCTTGTATATTTTGGATATTTTTTCTTATCAGTCTCGCACTTGTCTCTCGTGCTTCGCGTTTGCTTCCTTCCATTTCAGAGATATAAATCTTCTGGATGTCAAATATCTATGTCACAAAGCATATGTTATCTTTCTAGTTAAAATATGTATACGAATCACTCTAGATGTAGAATATTTTACACAGAATATTAAGATTAAATAAGAAATAAGATTTCTAAGATATTGATCAAGAATTTAAATGACAACGTAAAACTCCAAACAAGGTTAATGACCAACAGATAAAATTGTGAATCGTTATGTCAAGTTTTAGATATTAATGGACCAAACCGGTTTGCGACCTAGTGTTATTTTTCTAAAATTACCTTTCAAACGTTTGTCTTCTACTAAACCACACATCTCCTTGCGTCATATGTAACTTACGAGCAAAAATATCTGTCTATATTGTCACAAATTTTTACTAAGTTGTAAAATATTTTGAAATCAAGCGCCACTGTTTTTATGTTTCAGTTCTGAAGATAATCTGCTTTCCAGATAATAAATATATATGGATAACTATGTAGTAAGTTTATTTTTACACAATATTTTTCGAAATATACATCAGAGAGAAAAGAGAAATGCTCAAAAAGTGTGTGCAATTGTTATATTTCAGGGTGTACACGGTTCACCTGCATGTGCCACGTATCACTAGCTTATTTGGCATAGTAGAATGGCACAACGAGGCAAGAGGCATAGAAACGACAATGATCTGGCGTCTTGTCCGGGCGCTGTTAAAAGGCGCAAATGTAGATTGGGCCCAGCTGCCACTGGTTCATCGGCACTGGCAGCGACCATGGGGCCCTCAGAAGAAGAGGAAACGATGGCGTCGTCGAGCCAAGGGGGGGCACCCTGGACCGCCCGATCTGTCAGTGATATCAAGATTCCCAGTATATACAATCGATCGTCCGCGGAAGCACCAGCGGAGTTATTTCGTAAAGACCTGATCAGCGCGATGAAATTGCCAGACAGTGAACCATTGAGTCCAAACGAGTATTGGGTTATAACTGATCAGTGGAAACAGGAGTGGGAAAGAGGTGTTCAAGTACCCGTTAATCCGGATTCTCTTCCCGAACCGACGGTCACTGTTACGCAGGCGTCTCCTTTGAAGTTACAAGCTGAATTCAAATTGTGAGTGCATAATGTGTGTCGTTCTGTGTTATGTGAGATACTTTGGTTGTCAGAAATCACTAGAACTTGTGGTGTAATAACACAATCGTTCTGTGTTTTTCAGGCCTAAAAAGTTAGTAAGAATATCTCGTGATGATTATTTTAACTCGGAGGATCATCATTTAAGTACTACTCCAGCAAGAGCGGAGAAAGCCTGTGCTTACGACCTCGATGATACTGACATTGCCTGGTTGGAAGTATTCAATGGTGAACGAGCACAGGTACAACTAATTTATTTATGGCTCTGATAAATCAAATGACATTTCTTTTAAATTAATCTTTTAGTTTTGTGTATAAAGAATCTGTGTAAAATATCTTAAAGAAAGTACATTTAAAAGATATATAAGGTATAACTGTTATATAAAATTATATTGTAAAAAATAAGACAAAGTAAGATGTTTTAGTGCATCTTCTTTCTATTGAAAGGAAAATATTGAAATTTTAGATAATTCCTGATTCCTAAATGAAACAACACTGATATTTGTCGTAAAGGAGGGATTCAAAGCCAATCAAAATATTTAATATTTTTGAAATTGTTTC